TACAGGAATGACTAATACAGGAGGTTCACGACGCTAATTGTTCATGACATTTCGGGGTTGACAAATCTCTGAAAATGCTCCAACGCCATTATTTCTTGCCGAATGCGAGCCATGATGTACAGCAATATGTGGCCTCATGCCCCACCTGCCAACTGATGAAATCCTCTCACCAAAAGCCAGCTGGATTACTGCAACTGTTAGAACCGCCCACAAAGCCCTGGACACACGTGTCCATGGACTTCGTGATAAAACTGCCGGCCGGCGCATCCCAGAATTGTGCTGTACTCGTGGTCGTTGATCGACTCACGAAAATGGCTCATTTTGCGCCATGCCAAACGACGATCACAACTGAGCGAACTGCCAAGTTGTTCATCTCCACCGTTGTTCGCCAACACGGAATCCCCAAGGCGATCGTGAGCGATCGTGACCCCTGATTTACGTAGAAATTTTGGACAAAAATGTGGGAACAGTATGGTATACGTCTCCATCTGTCCACGACTTATCATCCACAGAACGACGGTTAGACTAAACAGACAAATCAGACCATGGAGCAGCTAATACGGACAACCTTTACCGACCTGAACCAATGGGAAGATTCCCTCACCTTGATCGATTTCGCGTATAACAACGCCCCTTCGTCCACGACTACCCAATCATAGGCTAGATAGGTGAATGCTCTTAGAGAGTATTACCCTAGCACAAAACTACCCTGTACCTTCTATTCTAGTCAATTCATTACTTTAAGATGGTATCACACTAGGTTAGGCCCTCTCTGCCCACCTGCGCTTCCGCCCTAGCCCTAGTCCTAGCCCTAGCACTAGCCGCTCTAGCTCACCCAAGTCCGCCCTAGCCGCCCTAGCTGCGGGAGCTTGCTGGACCCGCGCTCTCTGGCCCCGCACTCGTCGGCCCCTCACTAGCCGGCCCCTCACTCGCTGGCCCTGCGCTCCCTGACCCCGCACTCGCTGGCCCCTCGCTCGTTGACCCCTCGCTCGCCAGCAGCACGCTCGCCATCCCCGCGCTCGCCCGTCCCGCGCTCGCTGGCCCCGTGCTCGCTTGCCCTATGTTCACTGGCCCTGTGCTCGCTGGCCCCGCGCTCGTCGGCCCCTCAATCGCTGACGCCGCACTACCCTTTACCTCATTGCCACGCGCCTTCCTGACCGCCTCGCCACTGCCCGCGACCACTTCCTTAGTCAGCACCTCGGTGACCTCACCCTTACTGCCTTTGTCACCTCCCTGTTTGCGATAGAGACCCGCCAGCGCACATCGCTCAGTCTAGCAGTATTGTGCTGGTCCCTAACTTCCAGGGTTGTGCTCCCTCCCAGTGCACTTACTCTGACGTTTCTGCCGCTGACGCTGAGAGACCCTGCTGATGAGATCGCCGCCGTGGCGGCCTCGGTGCAGCCTCGTCAGGGTAAGGGCCACCACCCCAAGGGGGGTGTGGCGAAGGTAGGGGTGGTGGTGGTGGTGGTGGTGGTGGTGGCAGTGGAGGTGGTGCGAGTGCCAGCATCACCAACGAGGGGACCGGGTCTGATCCCCCAGAGCAGCAGCAGCAGCAGCCGCCGCAGCTGCAGCAGCATTAGCCGTTGGGTCACCTCCCGCTCGGGTGGCGTGGCACCTCTAGTGGTGGTGGCCGCGGTGGCGGCCCTCGCAACTCGGCTTCGAGTGGCAGCTTCAGCCCTGTGAGTTGCCAGTACCAGCTCCAGACTAGTCGTTTTCGTGGTAATGTGTGTAACCGTCCAGGACACAGTGCCACCCGCTGCTACCGCCGTCTCGATGACCTCTTCCGTCTCTGCTTTGGCCCCACGCCAAACCTCTTCGACTGGCACTGTCTCATACGTTGCCTAGTGCCGATCTTTGAGATGGATATGAATTGGAGTTGCTCTGCTTTGTATGCCTTGTATGCTGATGACTCTAGTGTGACTGGATCCTATTATCCTATGTTGCCTCGTGTAAGTGTGCCCCATGTGTATAGTCTACCCTGCTGCATCAATCGTAGGACTTTTGGCTTTGTATAGCCTAGGCTCCACACTGGCCCCTCCGTCGGCTGACGCTACCACAGCACTCTCTTTCACGTTAGACATTGGTGCATTTGCCTGCTTCTTTCGCGACCACCCCGCGCTCACGCCGCTTGCTGCCTTTGCAGCTGCCGCGCTTGCTGACCCCTCCTCCGGTCCAGTAGTTGCACGTAGCTCCACCACCCTTCCCTGTCCGGCAGCTCCCTTGAGCACTCTTACCGACCTGCATATCCCTTCGTTCCCTGGACACGAGCGGTACGCCATCTGTACCGAAGCCGCCACTGGTGCCCCCCTCACCACGTTCCCCCGAGACCTGGTGTCTGGCCTGCTCATGCTAGACACCGCATCCCCCTCTGGTGGGGGCGTCCCCCCAAGTGGTTGCATCTACCCAAGTCGTCCCGGCTTGCTCGTGTCGGTCGCGCACTTACCCGTCACTTCTGTGGCACCACCGCCTAGGTCACCCCACTCTCCCGCGTCTGCCTGACATGTCCCAGCACGGTCTTGTCTTAGGTCTTCCTGAGACGCTCCCTACCCTCTCTCCCCCGCCTGTGCCGCCATGAATGCCCTGCGTCAAGAGCTGGCTGCGGCGTGCTCCTCACTCCTCCTCACTTCCTCCTACCACTCTGCCACTCCAGACCCTGCACCTGGACGTCTGGGGCCCAGCCCCCGTCCCAAGGCCACGTTGAGAGCACTACTTTCTAGTTCTTGTTGTCGACTACATACGCTACACCACGGTGTTTTGCATGGAGCGGAAGGCTGACGTGCCTGACGTTCTAATTCCCTGGGTCCTAGCTGCGCGCCTCCACCGCGCCCTCCCTGTGCTGCGTCTGCACTCCGACCGTGGCGGCGAGTTCGCCTCCGGTCGGCTTGGCCAGTGCTGTCGTGCGGGGAGCATCACCCAGTCGTACACCCTTTCAGACTCCCCGCAGCAGAATGGGGTTGCTGAGTGATGCATCGATTTGGTCATGGACGTGGCTCGTACCTCCATGATCCATGCCAGTGCACCCTATTTTGTGTGGCCGTTCGCCGTGCGCTACGCCGCTCACCAACTCAACCTGTGGTCACACTCCCAGCGACCGCAGGTTTTGCCGACCCTCCTCTGGACCGGGTCCCCTGGTGACGCGTCTGCATTCCATGTCTTGGGCTGCCTCGATCAGGTCCTTGCCTTTTGCACGGACAAGCTTACTGCCTGCACCATCCCTTGTGTCTTCCTTGGCTTACCCCTAGACGTGTCTGACTGGCACTTTTACCACCCGCCGTCTCACCATTTCTTTCACTCTCGTGACGTCACTTTTGACGAGTCTGTCTCCTTCTACACCTGCTTTCCCCACCGAGGTCTCCCAGTTACCCCCCCCTTGTTTCTGGTTCCCACTCCCCCGGTAGCCCCTACTCCTCTCCCTCCCCATCCTGCCCCGTGTGGTGTGTCTCATGTCACTCCCCTCCCGTCGGTTGTCCCGAGGCGGCTGAATCTGGGGGCCGTGCAGCTCCGGTTTTGCCGATTGTCTCTTCCCTGATGTCTCCTCCTCCGCAGCCGCAGTAGCCGCCTCCGCCGCAGCAGCAACTGTCATCGTCGCCGTCGCAGCCACAACAACAGCCGCAGCCGCTGCCGCCGCAGGGGTCCGCAAGCTCCGTGGGTGCGGGGGATGAGGAGAGTGCTAGTTCCGGGGGTATTGTCGTGGCTTGTCCTGGCGGTCTTGGGGGTGGCACACGTGGTGGAGAGGGTTCTCCTTATGGGGGTGCTGTCTTGGAGCGTCCCGGAGGTAGCCCTGGTGCGGCTGGAGGTTCTGGCGTTGGCACGGAGCAGCAGCAGTAGTTGCCGCCGGTGTCCGCCCTTTGCCTCCTAGGTCTTCCCTTCCCCGACCGCCCGCCTGTGCCTCCCCCGCTGCCCCCTCCTCCCCCGCCTGTCTATGACACTGTGTTTCCTCCGCCGGACTCGTCCCGGGCTCGTTTCGCCCCTCGTTCTTGTTATAATCACAATAGGCTTAGATGTGCCTATAATGAGAGATAGAGAGCACAGTCGGATTTCCGTCAGACGGCTTCAAATACTGATAACGATTTGTTCACTGAATCAAACGGTGATCTGTAAATTGGATCTGGAGCGTGTTGCTGTCGTCTATCAGCAGCAAGTTGAATCATGAAATTCCATGAAGATTTGACGACGCTATGGCGGTTTGACTGGCAGAAGGTATAGCAGCCACTATAGTCTTAGGAGTACAAACTTAGCAAGAAGAGTTCGAGAGGGAGATGGTTCCCAGCCTCTACATACCCCAAGAGCCGAGGTCCAGATTGGTGGTACACCACCACAGAGTCCCCAACCATGAAGAGTCTCGAAACCAACCCTCCAAGGGGCTACACCAAGTGAAATGTAACACTAGACGAAGTAACGTTACTATTTTCACTATTTAATATTTATCCGCGTCCCTTGGGCTTGAAATCTTGAGCTCTTGTTCCTGGATCTGCAAGATAAATTCTTTTTTGAGTTGATGGGGGCTTGCTGCACACACCTGCGACACGATGGACACTTCACACTTGACAAAATAGAAAAAACACATGCGACACACAAACGACGACTTGACATGCGAGTTGTAAAAACTCGCTAATGTCTTGACCGACACAAACCACATTGTGATACACCATTCAAACACACACACAAGCACTGGATAGCAATGACATAGACTCACAATTCATTCCATGCCATGCATGCACACACACAAACAAGGACGACAAGCCGAGTGCAAGCCATAGGGTTGCACCAACAAACTCCCCCTCGGATTGTTGGCCTTAGAATCTGCTCCCCTTAGTTCAGAGCCATCCCAGCAAGCTTGCAACACTTCCAATGCTGCTGCTCAACCAGCCTCTTGGTCATCATATCAGCTGGCTGCGCCGTCGTCTTCACGTAGTGCAACTCCACTTCACCCGCGGTTACCATGCTCCTCACCCAATGCCACTTCACCTTCATGTGCTTCGTAAGGCCATGAAGAACGGGGTTCTTAGCCAATGCAATAGCACCTTGGCTATCACAGTAGAGTGGGGTAGGTCCTTGCTGCTCCTCCCCCAATTCAGCTAGCAAACGCCGCTGCCACACAACCTCTCATATGGCACGGAAGAGTGCCATGTACTCGGACTCCACCGAGCTCAATGCTTGGTCCACTTGCTTCTTGCTCTCCCAAGCTGTTGGGCCTCCACCAACACAGCAGATGAAGCCTCCCACACTTGTCATGTCCTCTGGTTTTGATGCCCAAGATGCATCAGAGAAGGCGGTGAGAAAGAGCCTCCCGGGTTCGACTCCATCCGCACCCTTTTGACGCCTTTGTGCCGCCGCGGAGTATTGCAGTCCAACAGTTGCTGTTTGGCCAAGGTACTTGGCCACTTTCTCTCCAGCTGCTACCTGCTCCGAGCCGTCTCCGTGAGTGTCCGATTCGCACGCTCGGCGATGCCGTTCATTGCAGGAGAGTAGGGCATGGTAAGAGAGTGCCTTATGCCCTGCTTCTTCAGCCAAGTTGAGAAATCCTTGCTCAGGAACTCTCCCCCACGGTCAGTGCGAATCGCCTTCACAAGTCGGTCTTGTTGCCGCTCCACCATTGGCAACCAATCGGTCTTCACCGTTTCAGCTACGTCACTCTTCTTCGGCAGCACATACACCCAAGTCATGCGAGTGTAGACGTCCACAATGGTGAGGAAGTACTCAGCTCCAGCAGCTCCAAGCTTCAAGGGGCCCACCACATCCATCACCACCTCATCAAGTGGTGCCTTCGCCGTTGTCTCGGAGCTATGGAATGGGTAGCGGGTGAACTTGGCTTGCATGCATGTTGGACAGCCAAGCACCTCATTGGGCTCCCCCTTGACACGTATCCCACTGACCATCTCTTGCTTAACTATCTGCTGCAAAATGGGCAATGCCACATGCCCCATTCGCCGATGCAAGGTAAGCCAATCACACTCTCCCGTAGCGGAAGTCGGGTTGGAGAAAGCGGCACTCGCAATCGTGCCCCACAAGCTCTCTCCTTTCTCCTTCGCCGCTGCTGCTTTGCTGATCTTAGGCTTCCCCTCCTCATTTCCACCACCTTTGGCTGCTGCACCACTCTCCTTGGGTTCACACGCCTTGCTGGTCTCTCCAAGGTTGCACTCCTTCGAGTCACTCTTGGTGTCACTTTGTTTTCCGTGATCACCGCCACCAACCGCTTCACTCTTGGTGCTGACGCTTGCTGCCACTTGCCTCTCCTTAGGCATGGGGACCACTGGGATTTGCCACATCTCATTGTAGATGTCCCTGTCCTCATGAAGGTCCCAAAGCTTCCGCTCACCAAGCCTCGCGGTATATGTTTTCGAACCCTTGGAAGATGTGTCCATGCCAGCCTTTTGCAAACGCCGAACGGAAATTAGGTTGGCTGCTAGGTTGGGCACCAAAAGCACGTTCTTGAGGCCCACCATCTTCCCATCAGCACCCTTGAACATGGCCTTGCCCATGCCTTTCACCTCTGCTCGCTGCCCCAAAGCCGATGTAACATGCTTGACCGGCGACGGTTCGAGTTCGGTGAGCAAGTCCGCACGAGGTGTCATGCTATAGGTGGCTCCGCTATCAATCACCCAAAAGTCCAGAGAGTGAAGGGTGACCTTTCCCACAGTAGCTGGCTCCTCAAAGCCTTCCACACCTCCTGCTGCAGCTGTCGCTTGCGTGGAGACAAAGAAGAATTGGCCCGGGTATTGATCTTCACTCGAGTCCTTGTCGTAGTCTCCACCTTTCATGCTTGCCGCTTCGCCTCCACGGCCACCACGGCCTCCACGACCTCTGCCTCTTCCTCCCCTTGCTCCTCTGCCCTCTTGGCCTTGAGAAGGGGTCCATCCATCAAGCAATCTGAAGCAATCTCTCCACATGTGGCCGGTCTTGTGACAAAAGTGGCATTCGCCATCAAATCGACCGCGCCCACGCCCGTAGCCATTGTTGTTGTTGTTGCTGCCATATCCTCCATTACCACGGCCTCCACTGAAGTTACTGCTGCCAAATCTTCCTCCTCGCCCTCTGCCCCTTCCACGGCCGTGCCCACGGCCCATGCTTGCAACTCCGGCACCATCGGGACCCGCAATTCGCGTCGGCGGAAATCTTCTTGTAAGATTTCCCGCTTCACATCTTCGAGTGAGACACGGGGCAGATCTCGATTTAGGTTGATGATGAGCGAGGACCATGAGTCCGGAAGTAAGGCCAGCAGCTTGGTCTTCTTTTGAAGGTCACTGTAGTTCAGGTCAGCTCCTTCGAGCCGTGTCAACAAGTCGAAGAATTTCTGCACTCCTTCCTCCACCGGTTCGCCTTCGTCAATTCGAAGTGCCGCCATTTGCCGCTCCAAAACCACAGCCACCGCCGCTGTTGCAGGAGTGTGTACACCCTTGAGAGCAGCCCATGCCTTTGGTCCCTTTGCTGGTTCATGCTGAAAAGGCTTGATGTGACGGATTTGGCTGCTCCCCAACGCTTGCCCAAGTAGAAGGTAGCCTTGTGCGCTCTTCCGCACCCACGGGCTCTTCTCCGGGTCGTTCTCGGGGCGCTTCTCCGTTCCTTCCATCACCTCCAGCAGATCATAGTGGTCAAAGATGTTCTCCATCTTGAAAGACCACTCAGCAAAGTTGTCACCATTGAACTTGTCAATGCCAAACACTCTAGGCTCATCCCTAGAGGGTCCAAGGCTAGGTTGCACCGGAGCAACGGGTGGATCTTGGTGTTGACCTTGTGCTTCGGCGGCTTCTCTGCCTCCAGCACCTCTGCCACCCCCTTCCTCAGGCCTAGGCATGGTCGAGACAGCTCCAAGGGGCTCTGATACCACTTGTTATAATCACAATAGGCTTAGATGTGCCTATAATGAGAGATAGAGAGCACAGTCGGATTTCCGTCAGACGGCTTCAAATACTGATAACGATCTGTTCACTGAATCAAACGGTGATCTGTAAATTGGATCTGGAGCGTGTTGCTGTCTTCTATCAGCAGCAAGTTGAATCATGAAATTACATGAAGATTTGACGACGCTATGGCGGTTTGACTGGCAGAAAGTATAGCAGCCACTATAGTCTTAGGAGTACAAACTTAGCAAGAAGAGTTCGAGAGGGAGATGGTTCCCAGCCTCTACATACCCCAAGAGCCGAGGTCCAGATTGGTGGTACACCACCACAGAGTCCCCAACCATGAAGAGTCTCGAAACCAACCCTCCAAGGGGCTACACCAAGTGAAATGTAACACTAGACGAAGTAACGTTACTATTTTCACTATTTAATATTTATCCGCGTCCCTTGGGCTTGAAATCTTGAGCTCTTGTTCCTGGATCTGCAAGATAAATTCTTTTTGAGTTGATGGGGGCTTGCTGCACACACCTGCGACACGATGGACACTTCACACTCGACAAAATAGAAAAAACACATGCGACACACAAACGACGACTTGACATGCGAGTTGTAAAAACTCGCTAATGTCTTGACCGACACAAACCACATTGTGATACACCATTCAAACACACACACAAGCACTGGATAGCAATGACATAGACTCACAATTCATTCCATGCCATGCATGCACACACACAAACAAGGACGACAAGCCGAGTGCAAGCCATAGGGTTGCACCAACAGTTCTCCTCCTGTGTCTCCTCCCTTATCTCCTGACCTGATCCCCCCCTCCCGCTGGTAGTCTCACAGTGCCTCTCGTGCTCGTCCTGTTTCTCCTATCCAGCGCTCTCGCCCCAAGTTGCTTCGCTCTCACGTGTCTCCTGCTCCTCTTCTACCGTTGCCTCCTCAGTCGTCGCTTTTTGTCTCCCCGCCTCCTCTCGTTGACTTCCTCCGTGTCGCTAGTCCGCTTGTTACTCGTGTTCTCACCTCTCTTGTTACCGACTCGTCCGTTCCTGTCTCCAGTCTTGATACTCTTGTTGCTGCCGTAGTTGATCTCGTCTCTACCCGTCGCTTTGACTACACCACAGCTCTGGTCTTTAACCCTGCCCATCCTATGTCTGTCAGGGGTGCACCTGTCCTTGGCAGTAACGTACTAGAGGAGAGGCAGTACGAGCTAGCTTTCCTGTCCAAGTTCGCTCCCCATCTCTGCTCCATGCTGCTAGTCCCTGAGGGTGACCCAGACTCCCTTGACATCCCGACCCCTCACACTTACGCTGAGGCGACCTCGGGACCTTGGGCCTCTCAGTGGATAGCTGCCATGGACGCGGAGATGGCATCTTGGAGATCCACCGGCTTCTCCATAGTGTTTCTTCAAGACAGTCTGCATTAGCAGGTCTGCCAACGCCGTCCGCCAGGCTTCACTGGCACCTTCGCCTATGGGACTGAGTGGCTCCTCCAGCGCATAGTTTACGGCCTGTGGCCAACGTCGCGCAAGTGGAATGACACACATCGTGCTACATTAGCTGACCTGCATGCAGACCCTTCGCTCTTCGTTTGTTCTGGCCAGACCTAGTTCAACATCCTTGTCTACGTAGACGACGTGGTCCTTGCTACTGTAGACAGAGACGCCCTGGCCTCCGTGAAGGCTGAGCTGCTGAGGAGACACACCTGCACTGACCTAGGAGAGCTGCGCCGCTACCTTGGCTTGCAGATCTCTAGGGACAGAGCTGCGTGCACCATCACTCTCTCACAGTCACACTTGGTGCGCCAGGTTCTTCAGCGGTTTGGTCTTCAATTCTCCTCTGCACAGCCCACACCTCTCCCAGTAGACCACAGACTCTCTGCTCCTGTTTCTGAGGAGTCAGTAGAGCCTAGTGGTCCTTACGCAGAGGTGGTGGGTTGCCTCATGTACCTGATGACTTGCACTCATCCAGATCTTACAGTGGCGGAATAAATTGTCCACATGTTCAGCCTTTTTTGGCATTTTGATGACTGCAGCGGCGTAAACATTAGGCCTTAATGTATGGTGTGCATACAGGCTGAGAAGATCAGTTAGAGCACTCATACGAGTTGCCAAACACCATAGTAGTACCACGCATGGTCCTTAAACACCTAAGCATAGCATAGGATAACATCCGGACAATTTGTACCGAAGACAGGTAGCATACTAGATTCTAGGAAAACTCGTACCTAGTCCAGCGTCCCTTTGCCCGAATCACTGCCTTGATCCTCCTCGGCAGGCTGTCGATCAGGTTTGCTTACACCTCTGCCGGTATCTTGTCCCATTCCTCCTGCACCCTCTCCCACAGCTCCAGCATTCCACTTGGCGGCTTTTCGTACTTCCCCAGCTGCCTTTTCAAGTGTGCCCACAGGTGCTCAATCGGGTTAAGGTGCGGGGAGCACGACGGCCATTCCAGCATCGCGTACTCGTGCTCCCCAAGCCAGTCTTGGACCAGACGAGACCTGTGCTTGGGATCATTGTCCTGCTGGAAAATGACCTATGAGGGGGAATGCTTGAAAAAATCGATGGTCTGTTTGAGCTCATCTTGCAAGATGCTGCGATACAGCGGCCCATCCATCCTGCCATCTATCTTGCACATGAACCCCGCCCCCTCATACGTCATACAACCCCACACCAT